TTTTGGAAAATTACAAAATTTATGATTTAAAAGTTAATGATGATAGTTAAAACCATTTATATGTGAAGAAGTTTATTTATCTTTATTTTAATCTAAGAATGCAAGTATTAACCTTATCCAACCATTTAATATTATACTTGACAATGAATATTTAATTGTTCATAATTTACTTCATTTATTTTCATAAGAATTCTTTGTTTTATTTATCTCTATCAGTATTTATATCGCTATAAACTTTTATTGCAAGAGTTATTATTTTCAAATAACCGCTTTTTGAACTAATTATCTTAGGTATATTTCTATCCTTGCTTGATACACTATTTTGTCAGCTCTAAATTATTTATCCAATCTTATTGATTGTCTAATCTATCCTTTTATCTCCTTATCTAATAAAGACTGCTAAACCATTTACTTTTTTTACTTGTTGATTACATCATTTCTTCAACTACATTTTTTTCTAAATTCCAAACTTTTTTAAACTTATTAACTTAATATACCAATAATAAATTGCTATCAGGAAAAGTATTTTTATCCTATAATTTTCATATTATTAAGCTTATATTGATCTTCATATCTTTTCATTAATTAAAACTTATATCATGTCGATCTGAAACTTTTGTTATCTTGCAATTAAAATAATAATAATAATAGTATAAATATTGATAATATATTATATAAGCAGTTGTTTTTTTAAAATTCTAATCTTTAGATATATATATGTGTATGTATGTAAATTTTTTAATATTTAGATATTGAGAAAAATAAATTTTATATATATATTTTGATATATATGTTTAATATGATTATTCATTTTGTCATTCTTCTTTGTATTTCCTAATTTATATTTCATTTGATTAATAATCCCAAGTAATCAAATACTCTCCATCATCACTCATTTATCCATATAACCTTTATGTATTAAATTGAATAGACTACTCAACTTTAAATTCACCTTTTTGTGTCTTTCTTATTAAATTTACATAATTGCAATGTTTATTCACTATTAATTATTTTTATCTAATAAATTATTAATGAAATAATTCATAACTATCATTACCTTCATTTAGAGTAATATGTTTAGTTTTAGTAAACTATTTACTTAAACTATTCATTTCATTAGACATACATCAAATTACAATCTTATGGTTTAAATGTGAATAGATTATTATTTATAAAGCATAATCGATATCCATGACAATCAACTTGTATTTTTTATATTACAATCCACTTCTTATTATATTCTGAGTATTCAATTATTAATATCAATTTATTATTTCCACAAGATATAACTTGATTTTGTTATTCATTCTAACTTATTTGATAAACAAAACCAGTATGATCTTCGATTGTTTATTAACAGATCCATTCATTTTTTTTAACCCAAAACTTAATAGTCTTATCTCTACTACATGATATAAACAGATCTTCATTATTATTCCAAATTAAACATCTAACCCAATCTTTATGTTATTTAATACTTTATTTACAAATCCATTAATTATTATATATGACCAAATCAAAATAGATCCACCTTCATCTCCTGAAATCAATTAATTTGATTATTTCATCAAATTTAAAGCAATTACATTTTCTTAATGTTAATTTAATACTTAATTTAATTTCCAACATTGCTTATTTGAATTCATATATTTTAATCTAATTATTACATCCAATTGCTATAATTGAACAATCTTAATTAATAGCAACTGCATAACAAAATTCATTTTATATAAAAGAATTTTATTTAACGAACTCAAATTTACTTGACTTGATATTTGGTTATAATATACAAGGATGCGTTGGTTATTCTAAATTCAGTTTTTCTAAGTTATAATGTCGAATTTATAAATTATTATTTTACTTATAATTAGTTTAATTCTTTATATTTCCAAGCATTTCGTTTAAAATCTATCTTCCTTATTCGATTGATTAATAAAGTTGCTAAAATAATATTTTTTCACAATCTTCCATTTTACTTAAGTCTTTTATTAATTTGTCAATTTGTGATACTCCTAATTATGGTAATTATGAAATATTAAAGTTAAAAAAAGGAAGGAACAAGCTTATAAGACTATCAAGAGCTACTTTAAATTATTAAACATTCTTTTAAATACTATTAATTCTAAGAAGTCTTTGCTCAATCCATTCATAAAAAAGGTCTAATTATGTTAACTTATAAAGATGTTCAATGTACTAGGAATGCAAAAATTACAATATGGTCTTTAATTTGCGCAAGAACTACCTATGCAAAACCCTAATATTTATTGAGTTCGATGATCAGCTTAGGTACATTTAATTTACATTACATTTTCTATTTCTATTAAAATTAATATTAAACTTTTATTAATTATTTTTGTTTAAATATATTAAAATTCTAATATACTTATGTAATGTAGTATTTGATACTTAATGGAAAACTAAATAAGTAATATTAAATTAAAATATTTTAATTCTAATCATCATTCAAGAAAAAGATTTGATTTCCTGAATATTTGGAAATGTTTAGCAATTAGATATTTCAATATTTAATCCTCACTAAACTTTAAGCTGATTTATCTAAATTGGTCTTCATTTTTATATATGAGTTGATTTCTATAATGAACTAGTGAATAAGTTCGAAATATATTTTTGAGAATAATAAATTAAGGCCCCCAGTTAGGGAAGAGAACTTTTTCATAAAATTAAAAAAAGGAGTCGTTCTTGTAATTAACAAATAATTATATTGAGAGTTTCTTGATTTGAGCTGCTATTTTCTCTATCCTATCCTTTGATATTATAACAAAAAATAACTTAAACTATCAGAAACATATATATTGTGCCTAACAATCATAAGTTTAAAAATTAGTTAGTCTGTGATAAATCATAAATCTATTTAGATTTTTTCATACTCACTAATTCTAATTCTCTAAAGGCCTAAAATTTTCTAAACAATTTAAGTGAGGAATTCAATAAAAAATAATAAACTGTAATTTTCACACAAACAAATCATTATCTAATTTATTCCTTAAAGTTTTATTTTCAAATCAATTATATATTTACATATATTATTATTTAATGATTATTTTATATTACTAAGCTAAATTAATTTTTTTTAAGAAATTGCAATAGTAATTTTGATTAAACAAAATTATTTTATTATTAGCTATCAAATATTTTCTTAAGTTCTAAGTTAACAATAGATTATAGTAATAATTGTTTTACAACAGTGATTGAATTTCATTTCACTTAAGGCTCATTATGTAAATCATTTGAATTATAATTCATATAATTCAATTAATTTTTCTGTCATACAATTTATATAATGGTAATCCTAAAATATTCAATCTGTAATTCTTTTTTTCCTCACTCAAGAAATATTTTCGTGTACATTGGCGACTTTCAACACTTACTCATCTTTGATTGTTGAAACAAATACTTAATACATTCTCAGATAAAAGGATTCGAATTAGGGGTCCTTGCATTACTTATCTATTTCGATCTTCATAATCCTGTAGATGCATCTTCGTGTTAGAAAGTAAACCACAAAATGTATGAGTTTGAATAGTATGATTTAACTTCAGAGCAATTATTTTAATTCATTATCTATAGTTTATAATAAAAATACTCTGATAAATTTTAAAATATCTCAGAAAACAATAAGAACGAAAAATAGCTGAAATTAAGATTTTTATTAAGCATATTCACTTTATAAGGTTAAATATAAATAAAAAAATTTTACAGTTGATGATTTTTGGAAAGAAGATAGCATAATTATTTCAATACTTTTTATTGTCATGTCATTCCCAATTCTTTTTTTTAGGATTCCTTAAAGTTTTATTACTTCAAAACTAATAATCACACAATGGTGAACAATACGAGAATTTGATTAATTATAATTAATTTATAACTATCTTAAATGGATTTAATTTTATAGTTTATTGAGTTTCGTATAGATAGATTTAAATTTCTTTCAAAATTGATTAAAAGTATCTTTTTAGTTAATCAATCATTAATTCTTATTTTTTGTAATTTCTATAATCTTCTGATAAATTAATTCTATTTTATGTTAACTTTCAACCTTTTTTGTCACCTAGAAGTTTGGATAATAGAACTATTGGTAATCATAAATTAATAAGTAAGTTGAGGCTATTATATGTATCTAATTGCTCATCTAAATCAATTGCAGGCTATATATATTCTTTATAAAAAAATATATATAGCCTGCAATTGAACACATATGATTTCTTTACTAGCTTTTCAAATTAAATGAATTTTACATCATTAGAATACTTCTATTATGATTCTTTAAAACCTAAAATTTATTTGCATGAGCATATTTTATATTAGTTTTATTTAAAAGCAATTACTTTAATTTAATTTTCAATTTATTTATTTCTTAATAATACTCATTTTTTTCCTGAAATTTTAACCTTGTTAGATTATCTTTAACTATTTTGATTCTCATTCATTTAGGATACTTACTTCTGAAAGTAATAGACTATTAATATTTCTATATCTCTGGCCGTTTCTCCATATCTTGCTACTCGATCAACAATAAAGTAGAATATGAGACCTTAACCAAGACGAAATTGTAGATCTCTTAATCTAGAAAAAATCATAAGTTAGCATCCCCTTTATCTTTGTTACCAAAATAATTATAATTTTACTATATACTTGATAAAAAGGAATTTCCAAAATATCATCATCTTTAAACAACTAACTTTATATCTTAGAAGATGTCTAACACACTTTTTATATTTTTTCTTGATGAGTAAGAGAACTAGAGATACATTTACTCTTTAATTAGGTTTAGCTCTTCTATTCCATCCTCTAATAGCAATATATTAGAAGATTCGTTTAATTAAATAGAAGATTCAAACTCCACTACTAAAGGAGGAAAAAATTATCGAATTAAATAGGTAAACCATATCACAATCATGGACTTTAAGATATTGTCTTCCCAAATGAATTGCCAATATTTTGAGCTCTTTCCTACATCCAAAAAAAAGGATTTATCTCATTAAAGACTAATTTATAAGCATTTTCTTATTCCCACTTTCTTCTATTATTCAGATAAGTTTGATAATTAGTATTACTACAATCCAATTTATTTTATTAGATGTAAGATTTCTATCTAGATAATTTTCAAATTATAAATACTAATAAAAATATTTCAGTTTAGTTCAAAAATACCAAAAAA